CCCCAAAACCCCAAAACCCCAAAACCCCAAAACCCCAAAACCCCAAAACCCCTGGTTTAAGTAATATAATTGAAATAAGATTATGTCTTATATTTTCATATGGTTTTCCTAGTAGGAAGAACACTCATTTCTCCAAAACAGCAACAGATCACTTATAGAGGTAATTTAAGTACCGAATTTAGGGTGGTTTCTTGAGTCTTTAAGAATGACTTATTGGTCTCAATTTTTAGGACTTTGTTGATATCAATCAAAGAACGAACGTAGCAAAACTATATAAAAGATTTTGCCTACTACTTATAATAATATTTTAAAATGATAGATAATGAGTTTACTGTCAAGAAGGTTATTGGAATGGGAGGAAGCTCCAAAGTGTTCCTCGCTCTCAACAAGGAGGGTCAGAAGGTCGCCATCAAGGCGATAAGGAAGGACAAGAACTATAAGCGAGCTACTGCTTGCAATATGCTTCAGAGGGAACATGACATGCTTGAAAAATTAGTGGACCATCCCAACATTATTTCACCCCTTGGGTGAAATTTTGATGGGGAAGCTGAGATGAATGGAGAAGTTGAGCCAGTGATGTACAATGTCCTTGAGTATGCTCATAATGGGGCATTATCACGGTTTGTGAGGTACACTGGAGGAATTGAAGAAGAAATTTCCAGGTTATTCATCCTTCAGATCTGAGATGCTATCCAATTTATTCATAATCAGGGATTTGCACATCTAGATATCAAATTAGAAAATATTCTACTGGATGAATTTTTTAATATCAAAGTAGCCGATCTAGGATCTTGAATAAGTGTGTCTGAGAATGGTGGCTTAATCAAGAATAGAAGAGGAACAGCTTTGTATATGGCACCGGAGGTTGCTTCATTAAAGCCAAAGCAAAAATTTAATGGAAAGGCCGCCGATATTTATTCACTTGGAGTTACGATATACCTCCTATTAACCGGTGAATTTCCGAATTTACAGGAAAAAGAAAATACTTCGATTACCACTGGTTCAGATTCATCTGACATAGAAATGAAGGACGAGAGTCAAAAACCTCTTGAAAAATTCTCCAAGCTTTCTGAGCCAATGAAATACCTTCTCCAAAAGATGCTTCACTCAGATCCTAGCGAACGACCTACCATCACCGAGATTCTCTCCTACCCAGACTTATGCAGACCAGTCGACTCACTACTAATCTCAGATGCATTCTCAGAGATGACGTACCGTAAAAAGTACATTCTCTCCTACTGTAAGACTTCTGGGGAAGGGTCTTCCAGACACATTATTCCTTAACCTTAATAAGTTAACCAACTTTTGTTGTAGAAGGTGACGACCATTTTTGTAGTATTACCCAAATTTCTTCAATATTTTACCAAGGTTGGGGTTTTGGGGTTTTGGGGTTTTGGGGTTTTGGGGTTTTGGGG